CTTTGACCTCCAAACCTGTAGCAAAACAACTCCATCAGCATCGTTGCTACAAAACTTGAGCCCATTATTTGGAGATTCAAAATGCAAATTCCCAAAACCCCCAAGCAGTACAAGAATAAAGAAAAAGGTTTTAAAACTTATGAAGATAGAATAAGGCTGAGGCAAATCTAAGAATCGGCAATTGTAACTTCAACTTCTACACCTGGTTCAATTGTGATTGAGGTGATTTGCATAACCACATCTTGTCCTTTGCACTGCAAACTAAATCCCCACACACTGTTGAAAAGATCATATCATGAAAAAAAATTATAAGTCAGAGGAAACTCTACTCAATTGGAATGGTAAAAGAACAATGATCTGATGTAATGGAAAAATGGAGAAAACCCAATTTTCTATAGCTATTGACTAACTACGTACACGCATCTTGGGCACAATGTGACTTATTAACATTATTTCTCACCTATCACCATATAATCCATCATTTTGTAAATGAGCATTGCATTATTCAATTGTCTTTCCACCAAACTTTATGCAAAGTTATTGACATCCATAAGCTTGCTTTTTTCCAAATTAGCCAATTAAGTTTCTTTTCATTCCAGTTGGGTCACTTAGCCCACCTCGATCGTTGAATTGAGCAAAAAATTGACATGTCTAAAGAAAACGGTGATACAGACTGGAAAAACCATTAGTGCACTGTTCTTATGTCCAACTGGACAACAACGTGCATTGCTAGAAAAATCGTGCCTTTGCAATGCACTTTGGACGTTGCAAAATAAATAAGAATCCTACTATGATTTAATCATCACTTAAAGTTACAATCTCAGTCTGCTTGAAGATATAAAATTTGCTTCATCCTCATTCATTCGAGAACCAACAATTGAAAATTGTCGTTAGTCATATTTTTGTTCAAAAATATTATTAATAAACTTTAAATGAGGATCAAATATTTAATCGCATTTTTGAATTAGTATTTATTTTGCTTATTTAAAAATACAAAAAGTAAATTAATCTTTTTACTTTATTTATTTATTTATTTATTTTTGGAGAAAATGCATAATGAAAAACAATTTATGTTAATTTGAGAATAAGATGCAACGAAAAAAAATTGAGTCAGGAATGTGATAATATGCGTGTGTTATGAATCTCTTTTTATTTATTTATTATTATTTTTTATGACGAGGGAACCTGTAGCCGCTATCCTTCGAATGTGCATTGAGTAAACTCTCAAGCTGACGCAGTAGCTTTCAAATCATGCCAGTCAGGTAAATCACACTTGGCAAATCCTGTGTGACAAGTTGGAATCGAACTCACGACCAAAGGCCGTATGTTATGAATCGTTCATGCAATTACAATGTAGTCTAGTTACTAAAAAAGTAGTGTGAATATTTTTTGCCAAAATCAAATTGTATTTATAACAAGAGTTGTGAAATAGTCTAAAACTTGCTGGAATGAAGATGACTTGTTAAAAGGTAAATATCATTAAAACATTACATTATCAGATACGGATTCAATAAGGAAAGTCCACAAATTTGGATTTCTACAATGATACTTATAAGGAAACTCAGTGTTTTTCAATGCATATGAGTAATGGAGCGGGTTTTACTAAATGTATTAATAGTAAATTGGTGGTTCATATAAATTTCTAATTCAAATTGATAAGTGCATTTTTATGCACTTATATAACTCACAAACGTGATTAAAATACGAGCAAAATGTTTGAAATGTGACCTAAATTCACTTCAGTCTCGGATTATAGGGTTTTCTGATGGAGTTGATGGAATTCATGAGAAAAAGAAGCAAAAAGAACCAAAATGATTCAAAGTTATAGTTCATGGACCAAAGTGCAAATATCCAAAAGATGAGCCAAAGGAGCAATCGAAGAATTGATAGTGCCAAGTACCAATTGGAGGCCAATATGAGATGGTGGAACAAAATAGTCGAAGAAAAGAGATCAATAAACAAGAAGATTGAGTTTGGGGACTAAAACGACACAAATTGGAAGGTCATTACACCATGCGATCGCATGGTGTTATAACCATGTGGCTGCACAACCCCCCACTCGAGAATTAAAACCCAAAAATAGGTTCAACCATGCGGTCGCATGGTGCAAAAATTCGGGACGATTCTGCAGTTTCCATTTTGCGTTATAACTCTATTCGAACACGATTTGGACGCAATATAAAAACCTATAGCCGTCATATTTTGAGGATAATGCATTGGGAGGCAAGAAAATACATCTTGAGAGGATTTTGAGCCAAAGTAACATGGAACTACACGAAGATCATCAAGATTTCAAGCGAATTCATAACCCGTGATGCTTTTTCTTCAATTTATCATGTATTTTGTAATTTTCTCCATGTTAGGCTGAATTTTCATGTATTAGGAGATCGATGTATCATGTGATGTGATTTCTTTAATTTCTAGTTTGCAATTTGACATTAAACATGTATTTGAATGTTTGAATGATTTATATACAATAATTTTCTTCCATAATTATGTGATGTTTGGTGGCTTATTTCATCTGTTCTTGAGAAGAAAAATAAATTTGACAAGGTATAAATTGTCGTAGGGTCAAATATGGGATAGAGATATACCCTTATCCTTTGCATACGTGAATCTTTAGATGTTTATAAAACCACATGCATTCTTCTATATGCATTTATCATAGAGATATAGGCCAGTGATCTATAAGAATAGGTTCAATACATTTTGAGAGAGAGTGTGTTGAATAGATTTAGGAGCATTGATTCGTCAATAATTCAATCGTGTTGTCGTTTTGTGAAATTAGGGTTAGAAGTGATCATTTTATGGGAATTCGTGATCCTAATGCTTTTAATTTTCATTGAAAACAACCAATTTGTGTTCTAAACATTTAATCTATAATTTAATTCGTTAAAATATCGTTTTATATATTGAGTTCATTCCAATCATCAAGTTTGCATGGATCAGGGTTTTCATAAATTAGGATTTTTCTAAGAATAAATTTCTGTCTTGAAAAATTTGTTTCGGTTAAGGCTAAGATAGATAAAATTGAACTACTCGATCTCTATGAGACGATACTCAGAACTTAATATTTCACTTTATTACTTATTAACGAACCGCACAACTGCCGTAATTTTAAGTCAAAAAAAATATTTCGTAAACAATTTTTTGGCGCCATTGTCGGGGATTGAGTATTCGTTTAATTTTATTTATATTAACACTAATTCGAACATTCATATTTGCATTTTCTATTATTTTGTTATGTTTTATTTCATTTTATTTAATTTCATTATGATTTGTTCTATTTAATATTTCATTTTAACATCTAAGCACTTCTTTTGACTCTTCTCGCAGATTTGCATGTTAAGGTATGTTGAAAGAGAATTGATAACAGCTGATCCAAAAATCAAACGAAATCTACATCGAAGGTAGCGAGAAAATAGAGAGGCACAGCAACAAATAGCTAACATGCAAAACAATCCAATTTTTCAGGCCAATGAAGAAGGGGCAGTGGATGAAGGAAATATGCTCGTAGGAGATTTCATGACCCCTCAAATAATTCAAAGTCAGTCAAGGTGGACAGTCGAGCTTCCAACTGAAGACTAATGTGATACAGTTATTTCAATACGGCCATCAATTTCTATGGAAGGACTGAAGAGAATCCACATACGCATGTTTCTCATTTTCTGGAGATGTCCCAACACCGTTAGATATCAAGGAATCTCAGATGATGCAATCAGATTAAGAATGTTCCCATATACACTGCGCGACAAGGCAATTGAATGGCTAGATTTGCAACCAATCGCAAGCATCACCACATGGAATGATCTAGCCCAGAAATTCTACACTAAGTTCTTCCCATCTGCTAAGATTGCAAAGCTCAAGCACGACATCTCTGTTTTTTCCAAGGCATCTAGGAGAATTTTGATGAAGCCTAGAATAGATTCAAGAATATACTGGGAAAGTGTCCACACCATGGAATTAGCAAGGAACTTCAGGTCCAATACTTCTATGCGGGATTACTCCCAGCCTTCAAAAGTATGGTTGATTCATCTTCTAATGGATCGCTGTCCAAAAAGACAATTGATGAGGCACTAAAACTTTTTGAGACTATGGCTACCACTTTAGCTATATGGACACTGGAACGAGCCGTGCAGAAGAAAACATCGGGGGTTTATGAAGTGGACGTTTACTCTGCTTCGTCAGCAAAAATTGATTCATTATTTCATAAAGTAGAGAACATGACACAATCAGCCACTGCAGCACAGTCGAAAGAAGGCCAATTGTGAAGAATGTGAAGCTGAACATGTAACAATAGAATGTCCAATCTTGGCACAAGGAGTAGTGCAGACAGATTTTGCTCAATGGGGACATCGGCAGCAAAACAACATATATGGGGAAACATACAATTCAAGTTGGAAAAAGCACCCAAATTTCTCTTGGAGCAATCAAAACCAGAATAAACCACAGGCTCAATATCAACAGCCAGAGAAAAAGTCTCAATTGGAAGAGATGTTTGGTAAATTCATGGAGAAGACTAATTAGTACATAGAAGCTAACAATCAATTCATGAGGAAAATCGAGGCCACTCTTCAAGACCAGAATGCAGCAATTAAAAATTTGGAGACTCAAATGGGATAGATGACAGTTGCTTTGACTGGCAGAGCACCAGGCAGCTTACTGAGTAACACAAAAATAAACCCGAAGGAGCATGCTGAATTACAACTCGAAATGGGAAGCAGCTATATAAAGTTCATGTAAAAATGTCGGGCATAAATCAAGAAACAAGATCTCCAACGATAGAAGAACCTATAGAGCATGACGAATAGGTAGTGGAATCCATCCCAGCTGAAAAACCAGACAAAACACAGGGTAAAGCAACCATTAACCCTCATGAGCCTCGTATACCTTTTCCACAGAGGCTAAAGAAGCAGAAATTGGAGTAACAATACAAGAAATTTCTCGAAGTTTTCAAGAAACTCCATATTAACATCCCACTCGCCGATGCACTATTCCAGATGCCTAGCTATGCAAAGTTCTTGAAGGACATATTATCAAATAAACGCAAGCTAGGGGATCACGAGACAGTAATGCTAATAGAGGAATATAGCACCAGAATTCAGAAAAAGGTCCCACCAAAATTGAAATATCCAGGGAGTTTTACTGTTCCTTGCACGATTAGTGAAGTTTATTTTGATAAAGCCTTGTGTGATCTTGGTGCAAGTATAAATTTAATGTCTTTATTTGTTTTCAAGAAACTTGGCTTGGGAAAGGCTAAGACAACTACTGTAACGCTGCAGCTGGCTGACAGGTTATTAACACATCCAAGAGGAATAATTGAAGATGTGCTTGTCAAGGTGGAAAAATTTATATTCCCTGCGAATTTTCTAATTTTGGACATGGAAGAGGATAAAGACATTCCATTGATACTGGGCAGACCATTTTTGGCAACATGAAGAGCTTTAATCGACGTTCAGAACAAGCAGTTAATTTTGAGACTGGGAGAAGAACAGATCTCGTTTAATGTCTTCAAGATAATGAAACTACCTACAGAGACAGATAGATGTTTCCAGATCGATGTGATTGACAAGGTGGTCCAAGACTCATTCTTCCTACATAACCGATCAGATACGTATGAAGGTTGCATTGTACATTCGCAGTCAACGCAGTCTGATTCAGTGGAGATGGAAACATGTGCAAAATTTTTGGACACTAACCCACCGTACACACGCAAAAGATATTTTGAGGAGCTAGGAACAGAACCCACAAAACCACTACCGTCCATTCAGCATCTACGAAAATTGGAACTCAAGCAATTACCACCTCATCTCAGATATGCATACTTGGGAAAGTCATGTACACTTCATGTGATCATCTCTAACATAGTCAGTAAAGTGGAAGAGGAGAAACTGCTTAGAGTACTTAGGGAGAATAAGACGGCAATTGGATGGATCATAGTAGATATCAAAGGGATCAGCCCTTCACTGTACATGCATAAGATTCTCATGGAAGAGAATTTTCGGCCAACCATAGAGAGTCAGCGAAGGTTGAACCCAAATATGAAGAAAGCGGTTAGAGCAGAGGTACTTAAACTTCTAGATGCTTGAATCATCAACCCGATATCAGACAGTGCATGGACTAGCCCAGTTCAAGTGGTGCCAAAGAAAAATGAGTTGACACCGACCAGAATAGTGACAGGATGGAGGGTTTGCATCGATTATCGCAAAATTAGTGCAGCAACAAAGAAAGATCACTTTTCTCTTCTGTTTATAGACCAAATGCTGGAAAGATTAGCAAGCCACTCACATTACTAACTCATCGACGGTATTCAAGTTACAATCAAGTACTAGTGGCACCAGACGATCAAGAGAAAATGATATTCACTTGCCCTTATGGTACTTTCGCATACCGCAGAATGCCTTTCCACCTTTACAATGCCCCAGCCACATTTCAACGATGTATGATGGCGATTTTTTCAGACATTGTAGAGAAATTTATAGAGATATTTATGGATGACTTCTCGGTCTTCGGGTCTTCGTCTGACGAGTGTTTAGAACACTTAAATTTGGTATTACAGAGATGCAGGGAAACCAATTTAGTATTGAACTGAGAGAAATGTTACATCATGGTGCAAGAAGAAATTGTACTTGGGCATCGGGTCTCAGCAAAAGGGGTTGAGGTGGACAAAGCAAAGATTCAGGTTATTGAGAAGCTACCGCCACCAACATCAGTTAAAGGGGTTAGCAGTTTATTTGGACATGTCGGATTCTACAGGAAATTCATAAAGGACTTTTCAAAAACTCTCTGCAACCTGTTAGCGAAATATGTGCCCTTTGAATTTAATGAGGAATGTTTGACAGCTTTCAACACTTTGAAGGAGAAACTCACGTTAGCACCGATAATTATAGCACCTGATTGGGAATTACCTTTTGAGTTATTGTGTGATGACAGTGATCACGTCGTAGGTGCAGTACTGGGACAGCGAAAGAACAAGATCTTCCATGTGATCTATTATGCAAACCGAACCTTAAATGATGCCCAGATCAACTACGCAACCACTGAGAAGGAGCTCTTGGTAGTGGTCTATGCCTTTGACAAATTCAGATCATATCTCGTAGGGTCTAGGGTCATAGTCTACACAGATCATGCTGTATTGAAGTATCTAATAATAAATACGGATGCTAAGCCGAGATTAATCCGTTGGGTATTACTGCTGCAAGAATTCGACATTGAAATTAGGGACAAGAAGGGCAGTGAAAATGTGGTGGCAGATCACCTATCGAGATTAGAACAAGAAGAACCAGAAGTGTCAGTGGAAATCAACGAAATTTTTCCAGATGAGCAGATGTTCAGTGCGGAAGAAGTCCCATGGTATGCAGATATCGTCAATTATTTGGATAAGTCAATCCCACCGCCAAATTACTCGAGACACCAGAAGAAAAAGTTCTTTGCCGAACTGAAATGTTATTTTTGGAAAGATCCTATTCTTTATAGGCGAGGGGATGATCAAATTGTGAGAAAGTATATACCTGAAGATGAAGTACCAAAAATTCTTGAGCATTGTCATTCATCTACCTATGCGGGCACTTGGGAGCTTCAAAGACTGCCGTTAAGATCTTATAGTCAGGATTCTATTGGCCTACATTGTTCAGAGATGCCTTTAAGTTTGTTAAGAGGTGTGATAGATGTTAATACACTGGGAACATCTCAAGAAGGAATGAGATGCCATTAAACAGCATATTGGAGGTCGAGATATTTGACATCTGGGGAATCGATTTTATGGAACCGTTCTCCCCATCGTTTCAAATTAGTACATCCTGGTAGCAGTTGATTATGTGTCAAAACGGATGGAAGCAGTTGCATTTCCAACGAACGACGGGAAAATGGTAATTGGGTTCCTGAAGAAATACATCTTTACTAGATATAGCACGTCGTGGGGAATAATCTATGACGGGGATAAACAATTTTGCAATCGCCAATTTGAGCAATTATTGAGTAAATATGGGGTTAAACACCGTGTAACAATCCCATATCATCCACAAACTTGCGGGCACGTCGAAGTGTTCAATCGACAGTTGAATAAAATATTAGAGGTCACAGTGAATTCCTCCCGAAAAGACTAGTCTAAAAAGTTGGACGATACATTGTGGACATATAGGACAGCGTTTAAGACACTGATAGGCATGTCTCCATTCCGCCTAATTTTTGGAAAAGTGTGCCACCTCCCACTGGAAGTAGAACACCGGGCATATTGGGTTATGAAATAGTTGAACATGGATTTGAAGGCCGCCGGTGAAAAGCGTTTATTACAACTCAATGAGTTAGATGAATTCAGAATGGAAGCATATAAAAACTTGAAACTTATCAAAGAATGCACCAAAAAGTAGCATGATCTACATATTCAGAGACGAGAGTTCGAAGTGGGGCAGAAAGTCCTGTTATATAACTCGAGACATAAACTCTTCCCTAGAAAATTAAGATCAAAGTGGTCGGGCCCTTACAATGTCGCTAAGATTCTACCATATGGAATTATACAGGTCAGCCATGAAACAAATGGAACATTCACAGCCACTATTAGGACAGGGACTTCTCTAAGCAAAAGTCCACCGTTCAACTCGGAATGTCTAATTGAAGTGGAAGTGAAAGAGTCGAGCTATCGATAATAAACTAGTGCCGAGTGGGAGGCAACCCACTGTATCCTTTAACTTAGTTTATCTTTGTTTGCATTAGCTTAGAAAATTTTAATTTCATGCTTGCATGTTTAGTTAGGTCATCAATCATCCTTGTATGTCAATAGAGTCTAAGCACCGTTGTTATTAGGTGATTGGGTGTGGCACTCACGCATTTCGAGGCACACGGTCATTTTTCATAAAATTGTCCAGAGTGTGGTTTGAATTCAATTCAAAAATTGGTTTTTGTACTACGTCCATAGACCGGCACATATCCCACATTGCGTAATATATTTTCAAAACTTTTCAGGCATAGAAGATGCTACATTAAATTCACCAATTGAAAATCAAAGAATTTGGGAAAAAGTGATTTGAGTCGTGTTTTTGAGAATTAGGTGTGTGGTACATTTTCATAATCATTAGTTAAAAAAAAATTGTCTATACGGTCGCATAGACAAAGTGTCCATGTGGTCAGTCATGTTTTTGAGAATTAGATGTGTGGTACATTTTCATAATCATTAGTTAAAAAAAATTGTCTATACGGTCGCATAGACAAAGTGTCCATGCGACCGCATGGACACCTACCGAATTTTTTTTTTGGTGATCTCTATACCATGCAACCGCATGGCAAAGCCAGTTACAGGTTTTTAACCCCGTAACTTGGCAATTATTCCCCCATTCCCCTTTCACTCATCTCTCAAACCCTAGGCGCGAAATCCCCAAATTACACGCACACATCCAAAAAAATCATCAATCATCCTTCATTCTTTCATACATCCACACATTCATCTCAAAATCAAGGTATTCAAGGTATGAACTTTATCTCTTCTCCTCCTTTAGATTTCGGTTTGTAGGTACTTACAATTTACAATTGGAAATTAAGGCGAAAGGGTGTAAGTAGGCTTGGATTATGATTGATTGTGTTTATGTGTTGTGGGTGATTACACTTTGCCAATCATTCATAGAATGGAATTGAAGACAGTGCACACAACGTGTTCGATGAAAATCATGAAATGCCTAAGTGACGAGCTTTATGCAATTTTGTAAAATTTGCTTTTTTCATGTCATACAATTGATGTGAATAGTAATGGGATACTGAGATATCACATGAAAGGCCATGAAAAACATAAAACCCCAACTTGCATAACATAGGCACTACATGGCCAAGTCACGGCACCCTACGTCACCTATTTGGCCCATTCATTTACCCTATCAAACGAAATCTGATCAATTTGAAATTTGAGTATGTCATAGACTTAGATTGAATACTTCCATATGCCCAGAGATGGTCCAGGAAAATTTCGATATTTTCGATGATGCTCGGGGTCGAAATTGCACCCTCAGTCATGAATCAAAATTTCATAATGTGTATGTTTGGGCCTAATTTTGTTGTTTTTCCTATTGGCGCAATATTTCCACTATTTTGAACATCATGTCTTGAACATTACACATTAAAATGTTACACATGCATCTAGGAGTAAGTTTGGGGAATTCGTGCATTTAACGTCGACTTTCGTGTTTTCAACATACTTTTTCATTGCATTCTATGGTTTTGACATTGAAAATCTTATTTTTTGCAGGATGCCGCCGAAAATAACTTCAAAGTGCAAGGAAAAAGTCGGCTCATATTCTGGAACTGTGAGACCTAGGGAACTCGAAGGGAAATTACAGAGTTCTTCAGTGCTGAAACCATTGCCTGGTATGAGAACACCATAGGCCGCTGGACAATGAACCCTGAAAGACCAGTTAAACTTGAAAATTTCTCGGGGTTTGAATTGGTGAATTTGTTCCGGATTTGTGGTTGGGATAAAGTGATAAAGAGACCTTACCCAGTTTATGAAAATCTAGTCCGAGAGCTTTACAAATTTCAACAGTAAAATTGACACCCCAGGTTCAAAGCATATACATCAGACATGGGTACGAGGGAAATGTATTATGTTCTCCCCAAATGTTATCCACGATTATTATCAGCTAAACATGGAAAATGTGGTTCCCATCCCCATCAAATTCAACTGGAATGAAGTAGCTGAGGTTTTGATGGGACGGGAAAATGCATGGACCCTAACGACTGCTGAGTGGCATCAGATAGAGCTCACACTATCCATAGCCATTCTATAGCTCTTCATGTGCCACAATATCGAGCCTACGTCACACAGAACCTCATTTTCTGATCAAACAGCGGGCTTCATTGATCATCTGGTTCGGGTTGCAAAATAGACCTTGCCGTCTTTATCTACAATCAAATCCACACCTTGGGCACTTGGCGGGATCGAGGTACCACTTTGGTCTTCCCCAGCCTCATCAGCGGCATATGTCGGGCTGCAGATGTTACAATTTTACCAGAGGAAGTACCTGAAAAACCCAACCCTCCAATAAAGCGTACTACATTTGAGGCTCAAGAGCGAGCTCTGATAGACATCGGGACGAACAAGAGAGAGAACGATGAAGACAGCAACAGGTTGCACAAGACCAGGGACTCGAGATGATGGAATGCCCCAGGCACCACCACCACCACCTATGGGAGCTGATACACAATTACTACATCAGATGTTTATGACTCTCACAAGAACCAACCGCGATATAGAGGAGATCCAGCAAGCTCTAGGGGCTTTGACGATTGACATACAGACAGCCCGACGTGATATCAGTACCACTCAAACCATGGCGCAGACTGCATATCAGAAGGCCCGATCAGCTAGATGGGAGATGGAAACTATGAACGAGCGACTGAGTATATATGTGGGTAGAGTGGATAGAATACAGATAAGAGTGAACGACACTTAGGACTGAATGTGTAGCATAGAGGGCAAAGTTAGAGCACAAAGTAGCATGATGAGAGCCATGCAAGCAGAGCAAGTCCAGCAGTCGGATCTACTGAGGCAGATCTTGGCTCATTTCCCACATCCACCGAACAACGACACCACAGGATCCAGCTATCAGT